GTTTGTGGCCGCAAAGCTCCGGTTAACCGCGACGAAAGGGATTCCTTTTGTATTTTTAAAAAAAACAGCTCCTAGCACGCAGACCGTTCTTGCAGGGATGTTGTAGGACCTTCCCTTCCCGGAGCAGCTTTCATCCCTCGACCTGCCTGACAAATGTTAATTAATTCCCCTCCGGACAGGTAAGCGGAGCACGAACCCGTTTGACAGATGGGTTCGTGGAAACAAAGAGCAGCGAGGTGACTTCTCCAGGACCACGAACCCCGGCCAGCGGGACATGCATTTACTGTGTCAGGCAGATGGTCGTGCTGAATTATGAAAGGAGTTAACCGGAATTTAGTTGTGCGTCTGTCTGTCCAGGGACACACGAGACCTTCAGCCGCGGTCCCGGCCCTGGCAGCGGAGGGTCCCTGGGTGTGGGTTCTCCCGCTCCGCGGTGGGACCAGCCCTGCACACCCATCTCGCCAGCACCCATGAGCCTGTCAAACCCTGGCACTCGTTCCCTTCTAGAGATGCCTGTGCCCAGAAAGGGCAGTGCCTGCTCGACTCTTACGCAGGGATGTGTACGAATCCAACGCAGGACTAGTCTAAAGCTGTGACTGGGTGCTAATGATATCGGAAATTGCAGAGAAAGCACGTTATTTTTTCTTAGACATATATTGTTTCCTTATGTGCTGCTCACTAACAGAGCAAACTCTCTCTCAAATAAGTCTAATCAACTTTAAAAAAAAAGCTTCAGCAGTTTCAGACCCTGTGCCCATGCTTCCAACATGGGCCAATTTTTGTGAGTTTGCAACCACATTTTCCCTTTTTTTTTGGCAAATATTTTCATTCTGGGGTTGCTGGGGAAAGGACTCCCTGCCCAAAGCTGCCAGTAGTGAAACTGAGCAAAAGGGCCAACTGCTGTCAAATGCAGAATGTAAAGAGTGGAAAACTAGAGGCAGTGTTTTCTTCTTTTTTTTTTTTTTTTGCGTAATTACTTGAGGCACTTCTTGTAGTAATAATACTTTTGAGACAGGCAGATAGCTGTCATTCTTAATGCTTTTCCTGTGATGGTGTCTCTTTAATGCGAGTAAGACCCACTAATGAGCTGATTCACCAGCATCGTGTTTTCTGCTCCTGGTGCACTGGGGGGCTTCATTTCTGCGCCCAGCTTGGCTGTCTTGGGTTTTTTGCAGTCATTTTCTTCTTTTTGTATTCCGGGAGGTAAGTTGCCTTTCTGCGTGCGATTACAGGCGAAAGTTTATTTTAAGGAGACTTAATACCAGCCAAGGGACTGATTCTCATTTGCACTTGAGCCTTGTTGCATTGCTCCAGTAACACAATGGAGTGTGAAAGGGAGAAAATATAAACACATATGACACACTCTATGGCCTTTTTGCACCCTGTGACTCTTACAAAGGAGCCTCACATTTAATAAGCATCTGGTGCCTGGTATTCTTGTTCTCTTTCTTTATGTCTTCATTTCATAATAATGCGACTTAAAAAGCTATGTAGGAGGTGCTAGAGAAGTCCATGATAACCCACTGGTAAGGAGGAAATGATGAGCATGATAAAAGGGAGGAGGAGAAAAACGTGGAAAGGTTGCCAAGATGTAATCTGGGGGAGAATGACACTGAATTTTGTATAAAATCAGAGATTCCAGTTAACAACAATTAAAAAATTGTAATTTCCTGAAAAAGTGTCTTTCGGCTAGGTTTTTAACATGCTAAAGATGCAGAAGACCCATCTAGATGCCTGTTTGCATTTTCAGTACCAGCTGGACACTAAAACTCTCTGAATCAGCATTTTAGATAGCTGAAAGACATGTAATTTAGCTCCAGAGGTGCCTGGTGTTCTCAGAAAAATTATTTCACTGGTATAGCCATAACCAAGGACGGTGAGGGTTGCAATGCTATTCATTATAGTCTGTCATTTGTTTTGTCACCGTGTTACTGCCGGTATTCAAAGTAACCCATAAAGCAGGTAAAAATGTGGTACCACTTTGATGCAAGATTTCATGTAAAATATTTTAGAACAGAGTCAGTGAGTCTGAATATTTTCTGCCAGTCAGATTATCCCCACAAAGGAAAAGTTTTGCTGCCGTGCTCAACAGGTGAGCTGACTGAAAAAAGATGGTCCAATAAGTGACTGTCAGCAGCACTGAATCATCTAAGGGTGTAAGGGAAAGCAAACCCTTCCAGATGCAACCCAATGAGTTGCCTCGGCTATGTGCTGTGTATAGATGCTGAACTAAATAATTCAACCATGGTCCTAGGTTGGCTGAGGTGGAAATTAGTGGCTGTGCGCTGTTGTAGTGACACCAAGCAACCGTGAGCAAAAGTGGGCAAGCCTGGAAAGCACATACTCAGATGATGAGGTTAATATTTTTTTAATTGTGCAGCCGCGGCTGAGCGCTGTGGTCCACCGGTTTGCCAGCAGCCTGCTTCTCCCGCTGCAAAGAGATCCTTGGGCGTTGAGGTTTTTCCAGGAAAAGCATCTCCATATGTGCAGCCTTGCTGACTGCTCTGACTTTGTAAGCAGGAGCTGAATCCTTCAATTACGTTTGTTTTTATTTTGAGAGGCCAAAATTCCTTTTGCAGATTCCTCTGGAGATGCATGAGTCAGTGGTGAGACTCGGTTCCTGCACTGCCTCGGTGCAGGGCTGACCGTCCTCAGAGAGCTGTAGATGCAGCTGAATTGATAGGTGTTTGTTGTGGTCAGGGAGTTTTCTTGAGGGGGAAGGTACAGCCAAGCCGTTTCCGAAGGAGATGCATGCACTCATGGCACGTGAGACCTTTCGTAGTGCTTTTGTTGCTACAGCCAAAGTTCTAAATCTTCTGCAGATGTGGAAATTGTTGGAAGCCTTACTTGCTTACTGCCTTAGGATGCTATGCAAAAAAAGTCTCTTCAAAGGCTCGATGATCAAATTACTTGCTTAGGTTTTCACCTGGTGCTAGATCATCCTATTCTGTGCTCCTGATGACAAATTCACACTGCAGTCTAAAATGTGGTGCAGCTTGGAAAGAGACTGTAAAAACGTGATAGGACAGCATGGGGTTAACTTGCCCTGGGGAACAAACTAGCTGTTATTTATAAAAGGGCAGGGCCTGATTTTCATTTGTGTGGAAGCTCCTGTGTATAGCTCTGGTAGTCAAAAGAAGCCACAACTTAAACAAGAATCAGGATGTTAGCAGTTGTAATCATTTTATAGATATAAACAATTACAACAGGTTTAGCATGAGCCATGAATCGCCAAGCTGCCACATCCAGCTTTTAAGTTTGGCACAAAGACTGGAAGTGACTAAACGGTTATAGCTAACCCCACATATTAAGAAATCTTGAGCCAGACCTACAGAATCTCAAGGCTGTTCTTACAATGTTGTGATTTGAAAGTATTCATTTGATATTTTAAAGAGGATTCATTTGAGTTCACTTCATGTACCGTCTGCCTTTTTAGGCCATAGAAATCACAAAGTGCAGGCATACTTTTTTTTCGTTTTTTTGTAAACAGAAGCTGAGATTTGGTTGTATATTTATAGGACTACAAGGCCCATGACTCTTAAGATGGCATCATGAGTATCATGAGACTTGTGGTATGTGCCTTTGAGAGTTGGCAAGACTGTAAAGAACTTACTTTTATTGCCAGGCTGGTTAAGAGATGACTCTGGTGTATGGAAAGAGCAGAATCTACTCAGTAAGGCAGGGCTCTTTTCATAACAAAACATTTCACTGTGTTTATGCTTGTAAAATGCAACAAGCAGCAAAGAAAATGTAGGTCAAGTGAGGCTCATAGCAAGGCAGTTACAGTTTTCGTCTTAAAGATGCAGCTTAGGTGATGTTAAGTAGTGTTTTCCTTCGCTAAGTGTAAAACTCCCTCCCTGGCAGGTATTCGCTACTGAAGAGGAAGGCAACATGCGAGCCTTATGTTAGGCATTGAAACATTTGTCGTTCTTACTCGTTCCCTGAGTGTTAGTTAAGCTTCAGAAAGACCATTCTCTTTCCTTGTTTAAGCATAACTTACCATTTATATCGCAGTAAAAAGCTGCATGGCGCTTTGGGGGAAAGAGCTGCTGTGCAAAAGTAGAGGTGTAAGGGTCTCAAACCAATTTTGCAGCATTAGGCTTCTCCGTGTAGCAGACTGCCGAAGCCAGTCCTGTGCACAAAGTCTTCAAAAATAAGGTCTTTAAAAGTGTGCGTTAGCTCGTGCTGCCTGCTGCCCTTGTGTGCAGGAAGCATCGTTGCCGGAGTGCTTCCACCATCGCTCACCAGCTGCGTTTCAGACAACCTCGTAGCAGCAGAATAAGCATCAATTTTGGGAGAGGCTTCACAGAGCTGGGCTGGGGAACCAGCATCTCCGAAGCAAGAGCGAGACGAGAGGAATATCCCAGATGGGTTTAAATGTGCCTGCCCAGGCAGAGAAGATTCGGGTCTAGGAGGAGTAACGCTCAAGACAGGGGGGGAGGCATGAAGTGCCAGGGTGTTGTGAGTGCCCAAATGTCTCTCCTTGGAGCTGTGTCTAGCCTGCAGATGTATTTTGCATCTTTTCCTCTGCATCTTCAAGAGAATCACACGCGAAGTTCCACCTCCAGGGTCGCATCACACTTGCACTAGCGCCAGGAAGACAAAGAGATGCTTTATCTCTTCCTGAGGGCTTCATGGCGGTGGGTGATGCAGAAGAAGAGGAAGCCCAACGTGACTTCCAGGTCTGAGCCGGGCTGATGCCAAACAACAACACCTTTACTCGTGAAATGCACAAGGCGTGCGTACCCTTTCATTGCCGGTGTAGTCATAAGGCATTTACTGGATCGATTTCCCTCCTTTCTGATGCATCGCGTTAATAAAATCAAGGTTCCTCCTCGGCAGCGTGGCTTCTGAAATGGCCTGCAGTGCCCGTCCCTGGTGCGGATCTGAACTGCAGGAGGCCCAGCGTACTTTGGCAGATGTTTACAACATGTCACCTTATAAAATTACATGGAAAGGCCAGCATGAATTCCTGTTAATGCCTTTTCTTTCTTGTGTTGCTGTTGGCTTTCAGCACGTGTGGAGCGAAAGTGAGGACTGCTTACCTTTTCTGCAGCTCGCACAGGATTACATCTCCTCCTGTGGGAAAAAGACACTCCACGAAATACTGGAAAAAGTCTTCAAATCCTTCAGACCCGTAAGTGCCTCTTCTTTTACGTCTAAACATCGACAGTTACCTGTGGCTTTTAATAGGATAGCACTGGGTGGAGCAAGGTGGCCTCTGTTCTGCAGGGGCTTACGTCTCCAGCCAGCTGCCTGGACGCAGGGGTGTTAGCACGTAAGCTACTATCAGGCGGTTGGAAATTGTTCCTTGGAAGGCAGCTGCCCTTCCGCCCTGCCGATGCAGCGCTGACCCTGAGCGACGGGATGCGAGTCAGTGCCGCGGCACTTCGTGGCAGAGTTGTTTCCTGGCACTGGAATTTGGGAGTTCTGCAAGGATCTGAGTAGCGAAAGTAAACCTCTGAGAAGCTGGAAATATGGTTTCTCCTCAGAGTCGCTTGTTTTGTTTTAGGGCTGGCTTTTTGTTCCCCTAAGTTGTCCAGATTTTGCTGTCAGGATTGTTGCCACTTGGTATTTGCAAACGTCAGTTTGGTCACTGCTGGAGAGGAGGTTGGAGCAGAAGCTGGGTTTTGTGGGGAAGGAGCGTGTATTTTTCTGTTTTGCTGCTACTCAGCTTTCTCTGTCCTTGTTTAATGCCAAGATTTTGGTCAAAGCCTGGGCTGCATCGGGGTGAGGTGGCTTAGGCTGGCTGTTGTCCTTTGTGTTTGCCAAATCCTCCCATTGCACAGCCCCTCCTTTGGAGAGCCTTGGGCTGGGTAAGGGGCTGGTGCGAAGCAGAGCAGAGGTTCGTTGCCAGAGCCGTGCTCCCATAATGTCCGTGGGAAAGCTCACTGATGGACATTTTTAAATCCAACTGAAAATGTAGACCTTTTTTCCTTCCCCTCTTTTTCTGACTGAAAATATATCGCAAGTATTTAGAGCGAAAGGGAGGGCCTGGAGCGCCGATATGAAAACACCGGCCCTCCCTGCGTTACGCCCTTGCATTGCCTTGCCACGGACCGCTGCAGCTGGTCGACATAAAAGAACATCGTTTTAAAGAATCCTTTGAGAGACTGGAAATAAATAGAACAGATGCACACTTTTCTTAGAAAGGACTGGAAATCTGATCCATCAGTACAGCTGCTGGTAATTGTGAAAACATATAAAAATTATAAATATGTTTCCCAGAACAGTATTTGGCTCTTGGATCTTCATAGCTGTTTTCTTCCACTCAGAAAAGCTGTGTCTGTGAGGAGAAACTTCTGTGGCTTTAACTAAAGAGGACTTCAGAAAGACTTCATTAAATTGGTACAGACACTTACTTCATTTAAACCACATTTATTTCAGCATAGCTTAAGTTGCTGAGAAATTGGCTTCAGTCAAACCAGGTTAAGCTACTCTTCAGAATAAAAAGGTTCAAAGTGAGGGGAACCATTACGCTCATTTAGTCTGGGCCCTTCATTAATACATCACATTTCACCCTGTGATTCTGACCACCAAGCACATGAATTGTGGTTGAGCTGGAGCGCGTGTTTTCCAAAGACACCCAGTCTTGATGTAAAGTCCTCAGGTGACTTGAAGGATACAATGCTACTGGGCACTTTTTGTTCTCATCATCAGTTACGCTCCTGTGAAAAACACAAGTTGCGTTTTTCTAGTTTTGCTTGCTAGCTGTTGAATTTCATTATGCTTTTGTCTGCTCAAGAATGGTGTCCTGAGTTGTCAGAGACCTCTTGCAGACTGTGGTCAAGTACATCTTCGTTTTCTCTTGGATGTAGCACAAAGATTAAGTTTCTCAGATTCTCCTTTGACCTAATATTGAGTGATTTGCATCAGCGTAACAAAACTGGTTTTATCATTCAGGATATGGTTGTGTGTAGACAGCGCTAATAAGGAATGCATTGACATTTTCCCCATATGCTAATTATTAAAAAGTAGCATACGCGTGGTAGGAAAGATTTTAAAAAACTAAGGGTGTTGCAGTAGATGTATGGAAAAGTTATTTTACACCCTCAGGCCTTTGCCAGAACAAAACCACTTTTCATCAGTTATGGGGGAATTATTTCCTTGGCATTGCTTTGCACTGTTCCCCATCTTTTCTCTGCTGGACCTGTTCTGGTGATAAAACCACCTTGCTGTGAGCGTGGAGGTCACAGTGCATTTGCAGGGCATTTCTTCTCCACTGTCCCAACCAAGTCTGCTGTTGGAGACCGGTCTGGCAAATTTCTGTTGGAAGAACGGCAGTTTAGTAAAAACTAGTGCTGAAGGTCAGATCGGGCTCTTTTGAAGCATCTGACAGTTGTGGCTACTCAGTCTGAGACACTGAGGAGGAGCCGGGTTTTTAGCATGTGCTTGGTAAGCACCTTCCGAAAGTCTTTTCCATGTTGGCATTTCCAGGCGGACATCCAAGGTTATGAGACTGTTTTGAAAGTCTTTGCTGGGGTCCTTCTGAGGGAAGTACTTAGGAGGAGACACCGGTGATGCATCGGCAGCTCTCCATGCCCTCGTGCATGGCAGCAGCACCTGCTCCCCCTTAACCAAAGGCTCCCAGACCTATTTTTGCCCAGTAACTCAGCCCTGCTCCCTACATTCATAACAGCCCAGCTGTGTCTCCGCAGGCTTACCCTGGGGCTGCAGCATGGGCAGGGACTGGCTGCTCGCGCTGCTGGGCCCTGCGTTTTGGAGGCGGTGAGAGGGGGGATGCCCAGCGGTTAGCATCCCTCTCAGTGAGGGGCAGAGATTTCGGGTAGTCGGGGGGCTGCGCGCCAGCCCTGGCTGCTCGCAGGCATCTCTCCCTTATGTTTTATGGGCATGAATGCAGTGCCAGGGCAGGGTATTTATTTAGATGAGGCTTTTTAGAAAGTGCTGGTTAACCTGTGGCAGCCAAACCACACCTCTAAATCCTGCTGTAGACAAGGTAAAGCTGTTTTTTTGCTGAAGGTGGTAGGGGGCATGTTGTGTCTGCCCATTACTACCTTCCTGGGTCAGTTTCCACAGAACTCTGTGATTTGCCTGATTATCCACTTAATCAGGCAGGACCCACAAGTGCCAGAGACCACAGAGGTACGTGAAGCAGTATCAATAGCACCGGGCTCAAATACCATTATTTGACCTCAGAGCATCCCAGCTCCTCTGACGCCTTTGTCTCTCTGGTGCCAGACGTGTCCATGCTGGTGCTTGTAAGCACATCTGCTTGGAGACTAAGCCCTTCGCACCAGGATTTGACAGAACTGTATTATGTCTCATGTAGCATTGTGTGGACTGCTAAAGCTCGGTCTTGTACTTGGTTTATTTTTCAGCATGCTTGTACATCAGCTTTTGGTAGGACCCAATGTCACTCTGCTTTTGTGACTTAAAAACTACTAAGTTATTTGTGTAAAATCAGGGCACTTTGGAAGATTTGAGAAAGAAAGACATAAAAAATAAAAAATGCTTGAGGGACATCACACCAACTGGCAGAGTTTGCAGAGAGCCAAAATGTGACTTGTACAATTCAGCAGCAGATTCCAGGGCTCCTGCATTGAGCTTACTTTCAGCCTAGAAATCCTGCATCTGAACTTGGGAGACTGCAGTGTAAAAGCCATTTATCCCATTAACCCATTTATTCATTGTATTCATACACGTCTGGGTGACCTCTCCTTTGCCTCCAGATGTGTCCTTTGGCCAGCC